CTGGATTCTAAATGTGACAGGAAAATCAACTGCTGTGTACTGTTTTCTTTACCTATCAAACTGACAGTTTGTACAAGAATCTCCTGTTTCGGTGATGCTTGAAGTGCTTACTTGTTACTCAATTAGACCTCAATATCTCTCCAGTGAACTCTTGCAATTTGGTCTATTTGTACTGTATTCCAGTAACAAAACACTTCACTCTTTGTAAGAAATCAAGTACTTCTTCATTCTTCCATTTCAAACCACCAGCAGTTTGTTTTGGTTCCATGACCTCATGACCTTCATAAGCATCTACCTACGTGTGTTACTTGGTGTATAAGGTATTATTTGTGTTTCATTTACTCCTCTGCTCACTGATGTGTTCTAAACATATTGCAACTATTACTACCTCAGAGCATCGTTCCATTCAACCAAGCTAGCCAAAACTGAAGACAAAATCTTCAGAAACGAGAGATATGACATCACGAATCTTTTGTTCTGAAACTTTGTCTGTAAGTAATTGCAGGGAGTAATTTTTACCTTTGTGTCCTTTTGCCCTCCACTTAACGATTGGCCCAATAACTTCTCCATCAGATATTCTTTATTCTGAAACAACAGAACAAGTTCTACATGAAACAATAGGTCTCAGTGGTAAAACCACATGCCTCGGTGACTGTTGGAGATCCATGTTTGCATCCAGTCCATGACAGAAACTGAAGCACAAATCATTCGATTAGCCCAACAACTCTTAAGTGTACTGCAGCAAAATTAACCAGAGCTTAGTCGTCTGGGACTTTAAATATTAAAGACACTTTAAATATTAAAAGCTGGTAAGCTTTCCTGCTCCTCTGATGCTGCTTGGCCTGCTGTGTTCATCCAGCTCTACACCTTGTTATCTAAGCTACTTGTTTGATGTTATATTGTTTGTAGACTTGTTGAAGTAAATATTCATCCCAACTTCAATTAACAATAGATTTGTTGAAAGTCACATTTGCCACTGACAAATTATTGGTGAACAGGACTAATTGAAGTCACAAGTCAACTTACACAGAAATCTTAAACATGATTAAATGTTCCAAAACAACAAAAATAAGCAGACATTGAGCAATGGAAGAAGCATAAGAATCAAAGAAATACGTTTTAAGCAGCTACCGAAAGGAGAGGAGAAATGTAGCAAATTTAATCAAAAAATGGACTGTAAAACCTTCTTTAAGTACGCAAAGAGGAAACATTTGGCTAAGCAAATATGGGCCCACCACCGGGGTCCAGGGAATTTATAATGGGCAGTAGAAAAATGGAAGAGAAGCTAAATGATTACACTGTGTCTGTTTTCACTGAGGAAAATACCAGAAATCTCCCAGAATTAGGTATCCAAGTGGCTAGGGTGAACAAGCATTCAAAGGAAATTAGCATCAGTAAGAAAACTGTACGACAGATATTAATGAGGCTGAAAGTTGATAACTCTCCAGGATCTGATATTCTTCATATCCCAAAGTGTTGAAGGAGATGGCAAAAGAGACATTGGATATTGCTGGCGACTATTTTCCAAAATTCCATAGATTCTGGAATGATTCCTGTGGATTGGAAGGGAGCGAATGTCACTCCACTATTTAAGAGGGGAGTGAGAGAGAGAAGAGCGAGCTACATGCATGTTCGCTTTACATCAATACCAAGAAAAATACTATTCTAAAGGATTGGTTGATAATGATCTGATTAGGCATGGTCAGCACGGACTTGCAAATAGGAACCAGTGTTTGACAAACATGTTTAAGTTTTTTGAAAATGTTTCTAACAAAACTGATCAAGGACAGCCAATGGACTTCGAAAACTTTGATTTTCAGAGGAC